ATCTAAGGCAACCCCATGAGCCTTCCCATGGCGCGTGGTTATGACCACAAGAGGTGAAGTGGCTCGTGAAGGGGTGCCTTGGCTTGGTACCAAACTTGGGCACACTGACTTTCCCACCACGGGTTGCACCACGACTCGTGTTGGCCACCACGGGTCGTGAAGACAATCGTGGTGATGGTAGGCAATGGCTAGGCTAGGTTTTTAGGCAATCTTTGCCCCTAACCATGGCCTTCACCCGAAACCCTTAGGCTTTTCCCTTAACCCTTGACGTTAACCCTTACGTTTAGGCTCTAGTTTAACCTATCATTTTCTGAGTCGTTACATGAGTGTCAAGACATTTTTCCATGAATATGAACTTTAGTCAAGACTTAATATGTAATATATGGGAATTAATGCTTAGCACCGAGTTGATATAAATATGAGATGGAAGCTTTTACACTAGTTGAATCCAGCTTTCCAGATGAGTTCCTTTTACCTTAGTTGAGTCTGAGTTCCCAAAGTATGGATCTCATGAGATGGAAACCTTCTACCTTTGTTGAGTCTGGGTTTCTCGAAGCAATCTGCTTATCCAATAAACTATGTGCCCTCCTAGATTTTAGCTAGTGGATCCACCTAATCTAAGAGTATGGTTCTTCCTTAGGCAGGTATAACAACCACTTTTCGGTGTGGGGTAAACACCGGATTGCGTGGTAAGCTCACATGGTCTTTGTCGGTTAAGGCTTATTCCCCATTATGGTAGAATGCATAAGAAGATGAGTTATGAATTATAGTTACTCAACAAGCTTTACTTAGTACGGGTGGGATTATGGGATCTTATCCATTCATTTCACAAGTATTCTTTGAGGGTATGTATGATATGTTCCTATTATGATATGATGATTTATGAGTTGATTATAGTTATGACTTATGCTTTGACATTATCTTCAAAATGGTATTTTAACTTAGTAAATTTCATGCATTCAACTAAAATGTCCCTTTTAGCATGTTTTCAATATTTTTATGCATGGCTATCATACTTAGTGCATTTTTGTACTAACCCATATTTTCCTACATTTTCCCCAAGTGTAGGGTCCGGTTCTTAAGGCGGTTGTCATTTTATTCAACCTTGGATTCAGTAATTCTCCTTGATTGTTGGTGAGTCCTCATGGTTCGAGGACATAAATTGTCATTTAGTAGTTTCATTCTTGTATTTGACTTTCGGATTATGTTTTATGGGCTGTGACCCTCTTTGATTCAAATATTTTTATCGATGGTTAATTGAGAAAAGTATACACTTCCGCTTTCCTTAATGAAAATTTTGGACTTGAAATGCATTTTTACTATTTATTAGTCTATGTGTATGTTATGATATGCTAAGTGGCTTACATGGGCCCTTTTGGTGTTCTATGTGCCTTGTTACGTCTAGGGGGTACACTTGGGTCGTGACATAGACCCAATCTAATTCTATTATATTAGATGGCTATGATGAGACAAGTGTTATAGACTTCCACTTTTCTTTTATAAAAACTATTGGACATGGACTATTGTTTTACTCTTATTGTTCTATTTCTTATTTATGAGAGCTAACTGGCTTGTATGGATTCTTTCGAGGTTCTATATGTCACCTTACATCTAGGAGGTACCCGTGGGTCGTGAAAAACATGGTAATTAGAGAGCAAGGTTTAGAATGGTCCTAGGATGTCTCATAAGCCACGTCTATTAGAGTCTTGTTCATAAGTGTGAAGCGCGCTACATTTATGATTGAGAGGCTACAGGATAAATAGGAAACTCCACTTCTTTCATTACTCTAAAGTCATGTGATAGAGTTTAATTCTATAAGGTCTCTCTCCTAATCCTTTTCCTACGTTCTTAAGAATATTGCTATCGGAAAAGCTTTTGCTAGAAGGAATGTGAGGGAAGATGTGGCATAAGAACCTCCTCCCAAACTTCTCAAGTTCCGGTCGATTCGTTGACAGAACAAGTATATAATGTGGAGTTTAGGATTCTTTTCAAGTGTTGCCCCAAGCCGTGATGGCCTAAGCCAACACGGAGGTTGCAATTCCCACAAGCCCGAATGTAAGTTTGATGACTTTAGAGTGAGGGACTTCACTAGGTTGAATCATCCAAAGGTCCATGGCTCAAATGTTTAGGAAGATCCTCAAGTGTTCATGGATGAGTCTATATGGTTTTAATGATCATGGGAGTGATGCCGGTGGAAAAGGTGGAGTTGGCCGCTTATCAATTAAAAGAAGTTGCTCAAACTTGGTTTAACCAATGGAAAGAAGGGAGACCAGAAGATGCGGGTCCTCTTGATTTGGAGAAGTCTAAGGTGCTTTAGTTCATCAACCTTTGATAAGGGAGTATGAGTGTGAGTGAATATTATCTAAGGTTCACACAACTATCTAGATATGCTCTAACAGTGGTTGCTGATTAAAGAGCAAGGATGAGTAAGTTTGTTTTGAGTGTGTCTGCAATTATTGTTAAAGAGTGTCGTACCACCATGTTTATTAATGACATGGACATCTCTGGTCTCATGGTGCATGCACAACACATTGAGGAGGAGAAACTTAAGGAAAAGTCTAGGGAGGTAAAAAGGGCTATGACCGATGATAGTAATTTCTCTCATGCAAGGCCAGATGGACATTGTTGTCCTAGATTTCGGCAAAGGTTTTCCTGTCAAGGTTCCTCCAATACTCCTCCTAGGTTTAACAAAGATAGGGTGTCTAACCCTAAGTCTGAATGAGGTAATGGTAGTGGATCTTTCTTTTCCATGTCTAAGTGTACTAAGTGTGGAAGAAGCATGATGGTAAGTGCCCAGCCGACACAGATTGTTGCTTTAGTTGTGGAAAAAGCGGTCATAAGATAAGGGATTTCTAAATTCTTAGGGCAAAAGGAAAAGAGGGAAAGTAAGCTCCTCCTAGTGGTTCGGGTTCCAATGCTCCTTAGCAAAACAAATTCTATATACTTCAGACTAATGGTGAGCAAGAGAGTTTTCCCAATGTGGTTACCAGTCTGTTAAATGTTTTCCAACTCGATGTTTATGCGTTGCTTGATCCCGGTGCTAACTTGTCTTTCGTGACGCCATATGTGACTATGAGGTTTGATGTTCTTCGGATGTGTTGTCAGAACCTTGTCCTATATCTACTCCCGTTGGTGATTCTATTGTGGCTAAAAGGGTCTATAGGAAGTGTCCCGTTTCCTTTTCCCATAAAGTTACTCTTGTTTACCTGGTAGAGCTTGATATGTTAGACTTTCATGTCATCCTTGGTTGGATTGGTTGCATTCATGTTATGCTTCTATTGTTTGTAGAGCTTGTGTAGTCAAGTTCCAGTTTCCAAATGAGCCTATCCTAGATTGGAAAGGGGGAAATTTTGTGCCTAAGGGTCAGTTTGTCTCTTGTCTTAAAGCTAGAAAGATGATTTCTATGGGTTGCATTTATCATCTAATAAGAGTGAGGGATGTTGATTCCAAAACCCTTACTTTTATGTCGGTCCTCGTTCTGAATGAGTTTCCAGAAGTTTTCCTAGATTATTTGCTCGGTATTCCTCCCGAAAGGGAAATAGACTTTTGTATTGACCTTCTCCCAGATACACCACCTATTTGTATTCATCGTTATAGAATTACTCCGGTAGAAATTAAGGATTTAAAAGAACAATTGAAAAATTTGTTTGATAAGGGTTTCATCCTACCAAGTATCTCTCCATGGGGTGCTCCAGTCGTATTTGTTAGAACGAAAGATGACTCTCTTTGTATGTGTATTGACAATCGTCAGTTGAACAAGGTGGCTATTAAGAATAGGTATCCTCTTCAAGGATAGATGATTTGTTTGGCCAATTTCTAGGAACAAGTTACTTCTATAAGATTAATCTTCGATCGGTTATCACCTATTGAGTGTGAAAGATGATGTTATTCCAAAAACAACTTTTAGAATGCAGGATGGTCATTATATGTTTTTGTTAATGTCATTTTGGTTGACTAATGCTCCGGCGACATTTATGGATATGATGAATATGGTGTTTAGATAATACCTTTATATGTTTGTGATTCTGTTCATTGATGATATATTCATCTATTAGAGAAGTGAGAATGACTATATTGATCATTTTAAGATTTTGTTGCAATTTCTCAATGACCAACAACTCTTTACTAAGTTTAGTAAATTTGTGTTTTGGCTAAGGTCCGTAGCTTTTCTTTAGCATATTATTTTATGAAAGGGTATTGGGGTAGATCCTAAGAGGACAGATGCATTCAAGAGTTGGCCCAGAACTCTAACTCCTTCGTATATTACGAGCTTATTGGGTTTGGCCGGTTAATATAGAAGGTTTTTTTAGGGATTTTCCTCAATTATCTATCCTTTGACGACTTTTAAGAAGAGTTTGGTAGAGTTGAATGATAGGCTTACTTCTCCTACGTTGTTGACTTTAGCAAAATGTGTGAATGGTTTTGTTGTTTATTTTGACGCCTCGAGAATTGGGTTAGAATGTGTGCTTAACCAAAATGGGGAAGTTATTTCCTATGCCTCAAGGCAATTTAAAATTTATGATTAGCATTATCCTACCCATGACCTTGAATTAGCGGAGGTTGTTTTTACCTTAAAGATTTGGGGGGATTATTTTTATGGAGTTCATGTTGATGTATTCACCGACCATAATAGTTTGCAATTTGTGCTTAACCAAAAGGATTTGAATCTTCGTCAAAGAACTTTGCTTGAGTTATTGAAAGATTATGACATGAGTGTTCTTTATTACCCCGGTAAAGAAAATGCCGTCGCAAATGCAGAGGCGTATCCAGGATCTCAAGAACATGGGGGCACCATTATCTTCAAAATAGACAATTAATTCAATTATATAAATTTTACGGTGAGAACAAGTTGACGAGCAAGTAGGTAGTAGCAATCTTTATATAGTAATATATTAGCAAAAAACATCATTCACTTACAATTGTCCTCGACGAGTTTTCATATTTTGAAAACGGTCAATAATGGCATAATTACTTATATTTTTAAATATACTATGCTCTATTTAGCAAACTAAACAACCATTCAAAAGATCTTCATCCATCCTATTACGCAAATCATTCTTTATGTACTTCATTGATGAGAATGCTCTTTCCACGCTTGCGGTAGCAACATGAATAATCAAAGTTAGCTTCACAAGTAGATACACAAGTGACCAAGTTTGATCTAGTTTTGTCTCTATCATCACTTTTGCAAGATCCTTGATTCCCTTCAAGTTGAGAAACTTGCTATCACACTTTTGAGCATAGACAATAAAATCATCGAGTTGAAAATTGTGCTCCCGAAGCTCTTTATTACCAAACTCACTTGGATAGTACTCGGCTAGTTTCATTATCCTATCCTTGTGAAAATTAGCAAATGAATCAACCGGACTCAAACTAGTCATACCAAGGAGCAAGTCACTAGTCACCACATCAAAACGATTATTGAGTTCTTGAAGTGCCAAATCAATGATGGCATAAAATACTTCCACACGAAAGTGATGTAAATATGAAATATTGGACCTCTTACGCTTTGACTTCCCATTATAGTAGCCTTCATTCATTTTGGGAATTGAAATACCATGTTTACCACAAAATAAGCTAACCTCATCCATCATAGAGTCCCATTCATCCTCTCTCATCATTTGCAATCGTTTCTTTGAAAGGTCAAGCAATCCCATAGCATTAACGATATCTTGATCTTTCCTTTGTAAAACTTTATTCAACTCATTCGTCAATAGCAACACCTTAAACATCAAGTGCAACATAATGACAAACTCAAATTCATGAATCTTGCTCAAAAGATTTTCCGCCACAAATCTATCAAGATGATATGGACAATCACGTTTCATATCCTTAAGCACATTAACAATTGAAGAAAAAAGAATCAAGAAATTGTCCAAGGTTTTAAAATGAGACCCCCAATGAGTATCACTCGGTCGTTGGAGGCCACGTTCTTGATTCAAACCTTGCCCTGTATGAACTTCTCCAAATTTAAGCAACTCTTCCAACTTATCTTCTTGATGTTGTCGAAGTGAATCTTTGCGTTTAAATGAAGCTCCAATAGTATTCTAAATATTAGTGAGAATATAAAAAAAAATTATCCACATCCGAATTCTTTTTGGAAAGACCTACAAGTGCCAATTGCAATTGGTGAGCAAAGCAGTGAATAGAATATGCAGGTGACGTATCTTGTAAAATCAAAGACTTGAGACCATTTATTTCCCCTTGCATATTACTAGCCCCATCATAACCTTGACCACGTATTTTGGATGTACATAATGAGTGATCCAAAAGCAAAGAATAAATTGCCTTTTTAATGATTGAGAAGATGTATCATTTACGTGGACAATACCCAAGAATCGCTCTATCACCATTCCTCTTTTGTTGACATATCTCAAAATTAGAGCCATTTGCTCCTTATGAGAAACATCCTTTGATTCATCAACTAATATTCCAAAATAATCACCGTCCAAGTCTTCAGTGATAGCCTTAGTTGTTTCTTTAGCACAAGCCTCCACAATATCTTTTTGAATTGTCAGACAAATCATCATATCATTTTGTGTAGCATTACCTAATATTACTCTTCCCACATCAAAACTTCTATCCCCATACCATTCAAAAGTTCAAGAAAAGCACCCTTATATTTGGAACCTTCACTTTCATCATGTCCACGAAATGGAAATCCCGATGTCAAGAGAAATCTTGCTACATCAATTGAGGCATTTAAACGCATCCGATAATCACTTCTTGCCTTTTCACTTTGCTTGTCAAAAAGAAGATTGGATCGATTGTCGTTGGTTTATCAAATCTTGCATCCTATTGAAACATTTATGATGGATACTATTTACCTTACCAACATGTTTTTTGAATCTTTCTAAAGCTTTGTTCCAACACCTAAAACCAGCTCTTGTAAATGAATCTCCGACATTTCCATGACTTTCAAGTTCATTCTTGAACAAATAACAACACAAACAAAATGTCGCGTCTGCTTTAATGCTATATTCCAACCATTGAGATCTTCTCTTAAACCAAGTTGGTCGAAATTGATCCAAACTTAGTTTTAGGGAAGCTATGATCAATAGGTTGACATGGTTTTTTTTGAATGTAATACCTCCTTACCGCATCTCGAATATTAGGACCATAAGATGAAATAGGCATTCGATCTTTGGGATCTGCTTCAAGAGATTTAAAATCAAGCATATTATCCGTATTTGAAAGTGGAAAAGAATTTATATGTCTTTGAACTGCCGGAGCAACTTGTGAACTCACAAATGGTTAATTAGAGCTAGAACTTGGTTGGCCATCTTTTGGCTTTGGTAACTTGATGAGAAACTTATCCATTTGTGATTTGATGATTTGAATGTAAGAATTATTTTACCTACAAAATTAAATATTCACACTTCTATTCAATCTTATCAAAACAAATAATTTTTTAAAAAAATGTTAAGCACAAATAACAAGTTTACTAGTAAAAGAATCACAATTATTAGATAACTATTTAGAAATCAAGAAATTCTTATAAATTTAATTATTCAAGCAATCAAATAATGGCACCACTTCATAAATCAAGAAAAACATATCAAACAAATGAAGTACATTAATAAAATAATTTTATTTAATTTTTAGATAGCATACCTTGTTAATTGTTCTCAAATCTCACTTCTACTTCACCATGAACAACAAAGTGGAATGAAACAAAAAGAAGAACAATATGATGTAGTTACTCTTTTTTACCTATTAGTTTAGGGCTTTGAAAAGTGAAAAGAAAAATTTTAAAAAAATAAATAAGAAAAATGTCTAAAGAAGGAAATGAGAAAAAGAAAGTAAAAAATATAATTTGACTTTATTGACACTTCTAGCTTAAGGTCTAGACATAGCTAATGCAACCTAAAAATATGGGTATTTAAACCTCTTTTATTTATAAATTATTAAAAGATCTATGAAAAGTGGCACATTTTGTTATATTAATTAAAATTAAAATATTAATGTGGATAGAAAAATTTGAACCACAAATCTATAAGTTATGCACCCCCTATTTGTACATACTTATCAATATACTAGAGTATTCTTTTTAACCTTGGGTTCAACAATACAAATTTTAAAAAGATAATTAGAAAAATAGTAGTATTATATAGGGGTTAGGAAGGGGAGGATGGGTGCATGTGAACCCACTCCCCTTCATATACATACGCCTCTGCGCAAATGCTCTTAGTCGATTATCTATGGGTAGTGTTTCCTATATAGAGGAAGATAAGAAAGAGTTGGTTCGAAATGTTCGAAGATCTACCCGGTTGGGTGTTCAGTTAATGGCTCCACCAAGGGTTCTGTTATGTATTGTTCATAATGGCTCATAATCATCTTTTGTGGTGGATGTGAAAGTTTAGCATGGTCTTGATCCAATTTTGGTAGAATTTAAAGAAGCGGTGGTTAAGAAATCCGTTGAGGCTTTCTACCAGGGGGAAGATGGGGTCCTTAAATATCAAGGTCATTTTTGTGTTCCAAATGTGGATGACTTGAGGGAAAAGATCGTGCCAGAAGCCCATAGTTCTCGATATTCCATTCACCCGGGAGCCACGAAGATCTACTGTGATTTACGGGGAGGTCTGCACGCATAGTCTATGTCTTTAGGTTACACTAACATAAGGGCATCATAGTTCTAGGCAACCTCAAAGAACACTTGTGCAATGCATCCCATTATACCCTTCACCCTAAGCATAACTTTGAAGTCATCCTAGTCATGTTTACCCTACTTTTGTTTCATTATTCACTTATCTTCTCATAACTAAGGGAATCTCTCGAATTTAGTCAACTATAGTAAGGAAGGTAGCTATGGCACAATCCTATCTTAACTTACTCTATTTAGTAACCCTAGGTCATGCTTGTGCAATGCAATCATATCATCCCATAATACTAATCTTGCTAAGTATTGCTTTTAGGTCCTCTTACTAACCCTTGTTGGTTTGGAACCTAGTTCCACTCTTCATCTTTAGAACACTATGAGGTACTCTCTTAAGCACATCTTAGTTCATTTATAACTTGACTTGTATGAGATACCCCTTTCAATATGTCTAAGTCCATCATTAGCATGGATACTATGAGGTACTTACTAAGTATGTCTATGCCCATAACACTTTGAACTCTATGAGATACTCTCTAAAGTCTGTCTAAGTTCCTCCTTCAGATGGACCCTATGAGATACTATCTTATGCATTTCTAAGCCCATCTATACTTTAGAACACTATGAGTTACTTCATTAAGTAAGTCTTAGTTCATAATGCTTTGAACAGTACGAGATGCTTCTCAAGCATGTCTTAGTTCATTATGCTTTGAACCCTACAAGATGCTTCTCAAGCATGTCTTAGTTGATGGATATGGAGATTCCTACTACGAACCTTTACTCAACTACGTGAATGATCCCATCTCATGAGATCTAACTATGGGAAAACCCACACTCTACTACGTAAGAGTTCCCCCTTGAACTTGGATAGTCCTCACATCAACTAGGTGTGGTTCTCCTTTCTACTTGGAGCCCAGACCCTTTCTTCTGTGACACTTCATCTCATTGTCAATATCCACTTGGATCCAAGCATACACCCCAAGGTTTACTTGTTAAGCCTTGCTTAACACTCATATCTCATGGAAAAATGTCATTGACAATCAATCCATGCTCAAGTGATTCTATCACATCATACATTCAAGCTTTCATAAGGTAGGTTAGGTGAGTATAGGCCTTTCACCATAATCCAACCTATTAGACTTCTATTCTCTTTTAGAATTTACTCTCAAAGACTTTACATCAATAGTTAATCATATTAGCTTCACCCTAACTATCATGATCATAACCTTACTCTCAAGGTTTCTCTCTTAATCTCTTATTTATAGCTAGACTTCAAGGTTTTCTATTGATAACCCTCATTACTAAGTGATTCTTGTCATAATTGACCATAAAGGTTCAAAATCAACATTACAAACCAAGATCAATCGTAATCAATTAGTTCTAGTTCACTTCATAATTAGGAGATCCTAACTTTGATCAATTTCCATACAAAGCATTAATTCAAGAAGGTCACTCATGAACCTTCAAGTTCACCTCTAATTGCATCAACCCACAAATCATGCATTTCAACAAGAAAACTAGGGTTAACCATTAGGATCACATATTTTCATAATATAATCACTAAACAAAGATAAATAAATCATAAATGGGTGATATCCACTAGTTTGGAATCACACCCACACACTACCCACAATGCAAACTCAACCCTAACTCAAATTTGGGTTTTGACTTTCAATTGGGGGACAACTATGGGGGTTCCATGGGTGGAAGAACCCATGGATGAATAAGCTTCACATACCTTAGATCAAAGCCTTCAAGAAAGCTCTCAACAATGGAGGTTGTACTGGACCAAATCTTCAAGCCCTAGCTTCTTCTTCAATCCATAGAGAGAGAATTATTTGAGAGAGGGGGAATGGGGGGTTTTGATTCTAACTGACTTAATAGGGTGTTAAAAGACTTTTAAAATAGTTAAACAGGTGTATGAAACCCACGACCCCATAATTTAATTACACGTCTAGGCATTTACCCAAAAACCCTCGACTAGGCAGCATGGTGCCATGCACCACGCCCCTCTCTGCGGGCCGTCATGGACACCACTGCCTGTGAAGTTGCCCGTGGTCCCTTGACCAGTGTACCACCTTGACCTCCCTAGCTCATAAGGAACTAAAGCAAGACCATGGGCCTTCCCACGAGCTGTGGTCTTGATCACGGGTCGTGAAGTGGTTTGTGGTTCCTTAGGTAGTAGCTAGCATTCTTGGACCACACTTACATGAACCTAAGGGAACTTCACGGACCCTTTCATGGTCCGTGGTCATCACCACTGCCCGTGAAAGTGGCCGTGGTCCCTGGGAAATGTCCTACCAAGATTGGGTAGCCTTGCCCCCCCCTTGGCTAAGGCTTGCCCTTTCTCTTGGCACATGCCCTTCCAAAACTAAAACAATACTCTAAAAGGTCTTCTAAGCTACAATGTCTAACCCATTCCTTAACGTTCAACCATTAAACCCTCATTCTAAACACTAAAAGTCTCATCTACGACTCAAATCTTCAACAACACCCTCTAGAACACTAATTCATGGCTCTAGTTTAATCTACTAATTTCCAGGGTGTTACAATATCTCCCCCTTAGGAATATTCGTCCACAAATGACACTTCTAAACACTTCTTAAAGGAAACGACTCAAGACTAGCAGCCAATCGTGCATGCATTATTTCTAAATGCACACACCCAAATTAGAAAACATCCACTCCAAGCTAAACAACTCAATACAACACACAAGGGGGGGTAGAAACTACTCCTACCAACCCAAAATACATGGAACTCTATCTCTACTAATTGTCAAGAAGGAACTACCATCTCCTAGCTCAAACATGTTAAAAATACATTCATGGAGCCTAAAAGGAATTTACTCTCAAAAAGCATCTATTCAAGGATGAATCTTTCAACTCCAAGCTAAAGCAATCTCATAATAATCTCATGCGGTCTATGTGCAACTATACTCTTGTCACGATCCAAAAGAACCCCTTAGTCGTAACATGGCGTAACTGACCCCGAAGGGGTCGCATACAAGCCCTTAGCACATTCATAACATAAGATAATAGAAAAATACGGGAAAATTTGAAACTTCACAATCGAAGTCTTATCTAATAAAAACAATAAGCGGAAGTCTTTCTATACAC